GCATTTACTAGTCAAAGGGTCATAATAGGATTGGGTCATCTTACAATATGGTGGATATAGCTCTTGTTTACTAGATTCAATGCTTTGGTAAGACCTAATCACCTAAAGCATTTATGGAACTGAGTCTATGTTTAGTTGGGTGTGCACCAGTTCCAACCCAATACATGCACTACGGATAATGCAGACAGACTTCTATAATTGGCTTAATTGATCTACAAGCCCAACATAAATGTTTGAAAAAGAAAAGCGTGCAAATCAAGTGGTTCAGACTAATATTTATCATGCAAGATGATGCGTGCTGTCATGAGTTCGATCACCAAAACAGTAGGCTGCTACATGAAGTAGCCATCAATATTTTAAGCCACATTTTATAGGAAATTCAACATTTTCTTTACATTGCTTTTATTGTCTATACTATTAGAAAGGGGATACTTGTCTTGGTTTTGGTGCATATCATAAAAGATAAATCTGATTATATAACATTAACTTATATCTTTACCTTATGTAAATGTGCATAGTACATGCCTTTGGTCTACATGTAGGTCATAAAATACTATATAACATGTTATACAAGGTTAAAACACTTACAAAAAGAAAGAAATAGGAATAATTTTTTTTTTTTTGTTTTTTAAACCCTTTTGACCTGTTTTCTTTATTTGCACAAAGTCTATTTATACCCTATAGAAGTGCTATATTTGAACATTGGGGAAGCTACTAATGAGGCCTAGAGTTGCTTGAAACAGAGATTGAGACAGCCAGATGGGAAAATTACATCCTTTTAATAGCCATAGTAGTGGGGGAGAGAGTTTCCAACACAAGCCATTGATGATGAAAACTGAAACCACCATGCAAACTTGGGTTCAACTGTAGTAACGGAAAGACGTGATACTTGAGAAGCTTGTAAACAATCAACTAATATCATAAAAGTGGAAACTAATCAGGTGGTATTTATAAAAAATCGTAGAGGATTTGATTGGTCAAAGCTCTTATCGTATCATATCTTTTTGGCACTACATTTTTTTTACAAAGTTTCAAAAATTTGCCCCCTAAAAACTATAAAAATCTAAAAAAATAAAAATAAAAACATCAACTTATCCCTACAAGGTTTTAAAAAAAAATAGGAGCCAATTCCCTCCCCCTTTCTTGAAAATGAGAATCCATTATAGTTGATTATGATTCCATTTCTAGCTGTGAACCAAATGAACCCTTAATTAGCTCATACTTCAAACAACATATTTATCCCCTAACTTTTGATATTGGTGCTTATTTATCCCAAGTTATGACTACATGTATGTATATATATTTGTTCATAGTAGGGTAGGGCATGTATCAAGTGTTGATACAAGTAAAGACAAAAAGGTAAAAATACGAAAAGCCATTTAGGGTCCATTTAATTTATAGTAAGAATCCAAATTGAAATATCTAGAAATTGGAATGTTCTATTCCCTTAGGTTATTTGTTCAAATAGAAATTAGAATCAGTTGGGAAAGGATTTCATTCCCAAGGGAGGGGGAGGGAATGACCATTCCTTTAAATAGGGGTGAGCCTTATTTGGTTAAAACCGAAATACTAAATAAAAAATTATGGTTTATTTCTTCGATTTTTGGATAATTTGGTTTTTAGTAATTTCGATTTTTGGTTTTCAGAGTTAGAAATCCAGTTAACCAAAAAAACCGAATTAACTAAAATTCATTATATAATATGTAATATATAAGATACAATATATAACATTTAATATATAATATGCTATATATTTATATATTATATATAATGTATTATAATGAAATTCAATTTCATAATATATAATATATGTTATAATATATATAATATATATATATTAATTAAATTCAAATTTTAACCCAAATAACAGAAAATTGAATCGGAAATTTTGGTTTTGGTTATTTCGGTTTTCTTGTAATTCGGTTTTAGTTTCCTTTTTTATTTTGGTTTTTTAAATTTTGGTTTATTCGGTTCGGTTTTTAACCGAATAAACCAAATGCTAACCCCTACCCTCAAATGGGGGAATGCCCATTCCACTAGGAATGAGAATGGGATTTTGATTCCTCCCAACCAAATAGTTGAAGTCGACCATTTTGATTCCAATTCCAAACCCCTATTCCTGTAAACCAAATGAGCCCTTAGATTTTGACATTATATTGAATCCCACAAAGATAATAGAAAAACTTATAACCAATCAATTGATAAAACCCTATGGTATTATGTATTTTCAACAGTATAATTTTTTTCCTTCTTTCTCTTTATGACTAGTGGAGGGGGCCTTGCGAATGGAACCGCCTACTCGTTGACCCATTGATATGGTCCCTAGCCAAAAACCGTTGAATCGGTCAATGACCCATTGACTTGAGCAGTCGAACCATTGACCTGTTCAATGGTTTTTGGTCATTTTTTTTTAATTTTTTAATTTTTATTATCAAAATAGGCCATCCGTTTGAACTAAACACTCGAACCGTTGACCCGAAAACCGGTGGCCATAACGGTTCCATTTTCAGGTCGTATGAGTCACACGCTCAAATGACATAACACATATGGTACTACTTAATGGACCCCACACACTCAATTTTTTCTTGTAATTTTTGTTGTTAGAATGGGTCGTCTGTTTTTTTTTTTAATTGGGAACTGTCCAGGCAACTAGTTCTGTTTTTACCCCAATCCTGGTCCCTGGCCAAAAACCGTTGAATCGGTCAATGACCCATTGACCTGAGTGGTCGAACTGTTAACTCGTTGACCCGTTCAATGGTTTTTGGTTGTTTTTTTATTATTTTTTTTAATTTTTGTTGTCAGAACAAGTCATCCGTTCGAACCAGACGGTCGAATTGTTGACTCGAAAACTGGTGGCCAGAACGGTTCCATTTTCGGGTCGTATGAGTCACACGCTCGAATGACATAACATATATGATACTGCTCAATGGACCTCGCACACTCAATTTTTTGCTTGTAATTTTTGTTGTTAGAATGGGTCGTCTGTTCGAACCGTCGACCTGAAAACCAGTGGACAGAAGGTTGCATAATTTTTTGCTTGTAATTTTTTGTTGTCAGAACAGGTCGCCCGTTCGAACCAAATGGTTGAACCATCGATCCAAAAATCGGTGGCTAGAATGGTTATGTTTTCGGGTCAATATGAGTCACATGCTCGAATGACATAACACGTATGATACTACTTAATGAACCTCACAAACTCAATTTTTTGCCTATAATTTTTGTTGTCAGAACGGACTGTCGTTCGAACCGGATGATCGAACCGTCGACCCGAAAATCAGTGGCTAGAATGATTCCGTAATTTTTTGCTTGTAATTTTTGTTGTTAGAACGGGCCATCCGTTCAAACCGGACGGTCGAACCGTCAGTTGTTAGAACGTTATTAACAACATTTATCAATAATAGTAAGTATTCATACTATTTAATTAAATAATCATTAATGGTATTTTTAATGATATTATTGTTATTTTTAATATAACATTAATTCTTAAATTTATGAATATGATTTATTAACAATATTTATTAAATTAATAATTACCAAAGTTAAATTAAATTAACAATATTTATCAGTAATAGTCAGTAATTATAATATTTTATTAAATACTCAATAACAATACTTTTAATAACATTTTTAATTATTTTTAATATAACAATAATTACTAAATTTATTAACAGTACTTATAATTTTAATTTAAAGTGAAATTAAAGTAAATATCTATTTATTAACAATATCTATAATAACAATAATTATTAATTATAATCACTAATTGTATATTTATTAAATTATTGTAATAATCAGTAATTATTAAATCCAGGTTACTAAATTTATTAATAGTATTTTTTAATAACAATATTTATAATTCTAATTTAAAGTAAAATTAAAGTATATATATCTAGTTATTAACAATATTTTTAATAACAATAATTATTAATTATAATCGCTAATTATATATTTATTAAATTATTATAATAATCAATAACTATTAAATTAGAATAATTAATTACTATAATAATTAATAATTATTGTTATCTTATATATATCTATTAATAGGAAATGGGTGCTCACACATGGGATCTATTCGTATGAATAGATTCTATTTCTTGAATGTAAAGAGCACACAGTTCTTATTAATATATATATATATATATATATATTTAAAAGATAAGATAAGATGCATAAATTTAACATATTGATTTGGCCGATGATTTTTTGACTGACATACTTCAACTGCAATATTTAGGTTTAGTGGAGTGTTGAATATATTAACATTATATCATATTAAAATATTCTAATTTAACTTTTATGTCTTTGACGTGAAGCCAAAGCTAAGTATAGGCAAGACATTAGACATGGTACCTTTTATCTCAAATCAAATATGTATCAAATAGTTATTAATTATATAGAATGGTTTTTACAAAAAAAAAATATGTAGAATGCATTATAGGTTTCATAACAAATCAAGCTTAATTTAATGTTTTTCAAATCAAATATAAAAATTCAGGCCAAAAGACTCCAAAGATATGCCATGTGAACAGTGGGCCCCCAGTAAACTATGGGTGCAGTTGGCCCATAATGAGGAGGAAGGTCATTACTCATTATCTAGTTTCTAGTTTAAATAGTTGTTTTACAACTGGCTAAACAGCAGTGCTAGGGTGCTAGTCATACATATTTAAGATCATAGGTACGCGCATCATTCATCACCGGTCAGAAATTTTACAAAAGTTCAAACATCAATCTGACCGTTGAACGCGTATCACTTATAATTAATCCCTTGTGATTTCATCAACTGTGTTCGGCCTACTGATTCGATGGGTTTTGCCATTCTGCTGGGCTTATTAAAGTCGTTACTTTGCGAAATTACCAAATTAGAAATGTCATCACATGCTTAAAGTTTTGTAAAGGACTAAAACGCCCTTGTACGAATATTCTCTCTTTCTCTCTCTCTCTCTCTCTCGTTTACAGTAAGCATGGATTAAGCACATCACAGCATAAAAATTTAGAAATGCTCCCATTTATTTCGCGTGCCTGCAGAACGTTTATGCGCATATCTTGAAACGCAATCCAACGCTACTGCTTCTTTCTTCTGCTTGACCTTTCGAGAGAACTCTGTTCAAAACAGAAGATCTGAGCACAGAGCATAAAAAACGCCTTCTTCGATATTGTTTGCTTCGTTGGTCTGCGCGAGGTAGAGAGCCTTGCCCTTCTCTCATTGTGATTTTTGTGAGATAATAAGAACAGAGATTTTGATCGATTGCGTGCCTTTCCCTTTTTTAAAAAATTCTCCAAATTCTCTCTCGTTTCTAATGTTTTTATAAAATCAGTGGACACCCATTACTTTTTTTATAGCGAATCCGAAGTGGGTTTTATGCCTAAAGTAAAGAACTTCTGAATGGTTTCTATTTCCGTTAGAGAGAGATGAATCCTCGTGTATGTGTTTATTGCTGGTGTTAGGGTTCTGCAGTTAAACATGTCCAGCTTATATGTTGATCTCTTGTGGTTTATGCTTGAATGCGTCTGTAAAATTAAGATGTTGGGATCTTTGTTGGGGGTTGTAGGGTCTAGGACAAATTTTAATCTAAGTTGGTTTTTGGTTGCATTTAGTTCTTGATGTAATGTGTTTGTGTGCGTGTCACTGTTTTGAACTTTTCATTTTGTTCAGTATCTGGAAATTCCTGTTTCTTCAGTGATTTATGTGGCAAACACGAGATGACCTTAAGTCTAAATTTTAAGAGCTTTCACCACAATTTCTCTTTTACTTTTTGTCAACATCTATGTATCTTGAAATTTATGACATGATTCCTGTATTATACTTGTCATTTTCAGTTAGATTTCCTGTTGTATAATATAAATGCGTTGGCTATTATCACTCCGATATTATCTAAAATTCTAAATCTGCTTTCTTAGTTTCTTTACGTGCATTTTTTCCTTGGAGATGTCTATTTTGTACTGTGAAATAGTATTTTATAGAATATGTATTACTCCTTATAACTGAATTGCTTTGGCAACAATATGCTGTTTGTGGTTAAGTTTATATAGGTTCTACTTTTACGTTCCCTTTTTGCATAAGTTTGTTATGTGATTTGATGAACTTTAGGAATTTATTTTAAGCTCTTCAAAATTTGACTACTGGTGTATGTCTTAGATTGCTAGGCTTTATAAGGAATACTTTATAGAAATAGTGAGAACTTCTAACATCAATAAGGTTGGTCTACTGAAAATTGACTGGTTGCCTTTTTGCCTTGATAGTTGATAACATGATAATATAGGTTGAAAGTCCACTAATATCAGTCTAGTAGTTGTCATTTGGGCTTTGGATTTTCCTACATTTCAGGTCGTTCTTTCATCATTTATGTTTTCTTGATGTAGGATCTATTACAAGCTTTAAGTATCAGCTTAACTATATTCCGTAAATATGAACTTCTCCTTCAAAAAGTGTCCATGTTGTACAAATCATCTTTCTTAGAAATTGTGGGATTCATGCCCATTGTTATTATTGCAGTGGTTCTTTTTTTGTGGTCCAGTTATCAGTTTGTTAATCATACTGGTCATTTTCAAGGTTTTAAATTTATGTTGTATTAATCTTGTAATTATCTGATTGACTGAGTGTTAACTATTAGAATAAGTAAGCCTAAAATGATAATATAGTGGTAATACTCTCATATTTTTCATTCATTTTCTTAGGTTTTTATTTTATTGATTATACAAGATCTTTCCTTTTCTCTTTCCTTTTATACTTATACAGTGGAAAACCCCTCAAAAGGTGTTTAGTCCATATTCAGTGGAAAATCCTGGGTGACAACTGGATTATGATGAATTTTGATGGGTCATTTGGAGAGAACCTGCCAAGTTGGACAATCACAGTTTTGTTATGTAATTGTAATGGACCAAATCAAAGGGCACTTACTAGAAATGCAGGCATCTGCTCTATAAGCACTACAGAGTCATGGGAAGTCTATTTGGGCCTATATTAGAGGTTTTCAAAGAATTTACATTCAAGGGAACTCTCAAGTTATGGTGGAAGTCACTCAATCAGCCCCCTGCAGGAAGAATTCTCTCTCTGGAAAATTCTATAGGATGATAGAATAACCTTATTAGAAGGTCCTCCACTTTCCCATATAGGCACTAATAAAAAAGGTTCTTTGTTCATCTGGGTTGAGTAATGTCTTTACCGAAAATATATAGCATATCAGATTGGAAAATGTCTGGATGTAGTGGAAGTTATATTAGGTTTTGGGATCTTGGGGATTATTATTGTAATGCTTGTATGCATCCCTGTCCTACTGGTTTTGAGTTCCTTTCCTCCATTCTCCTAGAATGACTTTTTTTAATAAGCATTCTCTTAGAAGGACTTGTCTTTTGCATAATTTATCTCTCCTCCAATTCCTTTATTATTTTTTCCATTATCAATAAATATGTTAGCTAAAAGTTTTTAATAGGAAAAATTAAACTCATGGTGTAACTGTGTAAGTACCAAATAGATGTCTATTTATGTGATGCCATGCAAGTAACAGATGGAGAGAATTGTAAAAGGGCAGCCCAGTGATGAGGCTCCTGCCAATGCGGGATCTAGGGAGGGACAGATGTACGCAGCCTTATCCCTGCACATACAGAGAGACTGTATCCAAGATTTGAACCCTGGTCACCCAGGTCACAATGGAGCAACCCAACCATTGCACCAAGCCCCACCCTCAGATGGAGAAAACCGTGAAATGTAAAATTGTCATATAATAGATTTGAGGAGTATCATAGTTTTGACAACTGTTACTTATCCAATATGTTTCTCTGTCTGTTTAAAGGAAATTTTAGATGCATATGCAAATGGGAAACTTTAAATGATCTAGAAATGTTTTTTGAAGTTCATGTATATGATAATTGGCTAATTTTATTTCTATGAAATTGTGACATGTTTTGCAACTGTTTGTTAACATATTCGGATACATGTTTCTATTCCTATATTCTTGAATCTAATAGAAGATGCTATTGAAACCTTGTAAGCTTTTTGTATGCATGACTGGTATGTGTATAATTGTGTACAAGAGTCTGGTTGTCCACAATGTGTTTGTGAGGAAGTCTTTTCTTTGTTTCTTTTGTTTTGTTCTTATTGTAACAGTTCAGAAAATATTACTACACAAAAACAGAAAAGAAAATGACCAAAAAAAAAACAAAAACAGAAAAGAAAATGGCCAAAAAAACAAAAATAGAAAAGAAAACAAGAAGAGTAAATCTGAAAGGGGACAATGTAGGTGAAGTCTATTTCCTATATTTTGATGCTTTCTTTTAGTATTTTTTATGATTCTGCATTGTAGAAGGTGATTCACTGGTTGTAACTGGGTGGCCTAGGGGATAATCAGGATGGGGCCGATGGGCCTTGGAAATATTGATGCATCATAAGAGAATTGAAGCAATTAACACAAGGGTTGGGAGCATTTGTAAAACGGGTGCCTAGATTGGTTAATGGACTGGTAGGGCAAAGGGTGGGAAGGGAACAAATGTATTGGGGTTTGATTTACTAAAGGGAGTTGTAACTGTAATGCTCTTGGTGGTTTTCCAAGGCTAACCATTTTTTATTCTTTCTGTACTAGCATTTTATTTCAGTACTAAAAAGCCTTTTACTGTTATCTATCAGAAAAATTAGGGTGCTTTCTCTGTTGCTGATAAAAAAAAGTAGGGTGATTTTAATTGTATGGCTTACTACTGACAAAGAACTTACGTGATAAGAAATTTCTAGTATCAAATTGACAAAATTAAGATTGATCAGGAATTGACAAAATTAAGAGAAAATGGGTTCGTATCATAGATCTTGTCTATTTGACCAAGATATACCATGGGCATCACCGGGAGCTATCTACTCAAAATTAGGTATTAGGCATTGAATTCTTCTATTCTCAGTTCTTGCAATCAACCTAGTTTGTTATTTGAGAGTTGTTTTGATGATGTTTGAAGGATAAGTAGTCTAATAGAATTATGAATTATTTTTTTGATCAATGGGATAATATTTTATTAGAGTTATAACAGAAAATTACAACAGGGTGAAAGTGTTCTTTTCCAAATTACAGATTTACAGTTCAGCCCAAAATAATTGGGTCTCCTAGCCCCTTGTTTAGCTAGAGTATCTTCTATCCCATTTGCTGTTCTTCTCACCCATTTGGAAGTAACATTCAACTCCCTTACAATGTTCACAATCTCCCTAAAAATATGCCTATAGATCCATGGGATTTGGGTGCAACATCTTTTCCAAGCGATGACCACTTGAGAGTCTCCTTCCACTTCCAAATTAAGGAACCCAAAGTACCTAGCAAATCTTAATCCCTGCAGGAGTCCAATTAGCTTTGCAGTCAGTGCATCCCCATTTTCTAGAGGCCCTGAATACAAAGCTAACACCTTTCCTCCTGAATCTCTGAAGACACCCCCTATCCCAGCTACATTTTGGTTACCAAGGAAGCTTCCATCAAAGTTCAGCTTCATGAAATTTGTTTCTGGGGCTCTCCACTCCATAAAAAAACTTTTCTTTTCCTTGGGTTGATACAGCCACTTCCTTCCAAGGTCTCAGGATGTCATTCAAAGAGAAGACTTTGAAGTCTTCCAGAGTTTTTACCCAGTGAGCAGTTTTTAACTTTATTGTTTCAAAAATTTCCATCTCTGATCTGCTTTTTTTATTGAAAATTCTTCCATTCCTCTCTTCCCAAATAGTCCAAACCAAGGCAGCCCTTGCTGTTTTCCATAATAATTTTCCTCTTTGTTTTGGTTGCCTCATGAAGCTAGGGTCAAAAAGGCCCACCACCTCCTGTGGATGATTCCACCTGTACCCAAAAAGAGAACAAAGATTCTCCCGGATACAAAGCACAAAAGGGCAAAATAGAAAGATATGGGAAACAGTTTCACCATTGCATTTACATAGGCTGCACACATGAGGGGAGAGGCACTTATTTGGCCTTCTTTTCTGTAGCATACCACAAGTGTTTTTCTTTCCAAGGAAGACTACCCAACAAAAAGCCTGAATCTTAGGAGGGATTGGCTTACTCCAAATTTCTTTCACCGGGAATATTGCCTCCAAGGTAGCTGGCTGAGTTAAGAAGTTAAAGAAGGAAGCACAAGTAAAAAGACCAGTGGTGGAGATTGACCATGCCCTGGTATCCTCAACAATTTGGTCCAAAAAAACCGAGTCAAGTCTGGACAAAAGAGAGATGAGAGACTCACATTCCGAATCCCTAAGACCCCTTCCAAACCCGAAGTTGAAAAGCTCACAAACTTACCATTTCCCACATCATACTGAATGAGATTAAGGAAGAAAGGATAGACCTCATAAATTGCTTTCCAAGGAGATGTTGAATTTGTGGAAAGTGCCACCTTTGAGTCCCAACCATTGTCTGAAATACCATGTATTGCTAGCAATGACCTTGTGCTAGAGCCTGTCTCTTTCTAGGGGTAATCTCCATAACCACTTTCCTAGGAATGCTAAATTCTTTTGGACTAAGTTTCTTAGCCCAAGCCCACCCTTCTTTTTAAGCCTACTAACTTGTTCCCAATTCACCAAATGGTCTCTCTTATCAACTCCCAATTCCCATAGAAAGTCTCTCATTAATTTTTCCAGTTACCCTGCAATTTTGATAGGAATACAAAAGGTAGACAAGAAGTAAATGGGAAGGTTAGCCAATGTGGCTTTAATCAAGGTTATCCTACCTCCCAAAGAGATGTAACTCCTCTTCCAAAGTGACAATTTTTGGAAAATCTCTAGCTTCCAGAAACTCTCATTACGTGGATTTCCGCCCAGAGGGAGCCCCAAGTACTCTAGGGGCCAAATTTTGACTTCGCAACCTAAGGCCTCTACTATTTTGATGATTTCCTCTTCTTGTAAATTCAGGCCCGCATGACAGCTTTTCCCCAGATCATTCTTTTAAAAGGCTCTTGATGTGAGGCCAGGAAAAAAAGGTCTCGCCTCAATAGCCTTAGACCCCACCAACATGGCTTAGGCCTTGAGTTGTTTAAGGCTTACGCCTTTGAGCCTTTGGCCTCAAAACGTCCAATGCTTAGGCCTATGCTAATGTGGAATATGAAGGTTTACATAGGGGCAAACATAAATTTAAGACCAAAAAGCCTTGTTTTGTATATATTGGTGTAATGAGCAAATAAATAAACATACAAATAACTTAAAGCTTGCATATAAATTGTGTTAAGAAAATAGCTTGCTTTATTGTGCATGCTTTATTCTTACCCATTTGCTCATTTATCTCATACTTGATAATCTATTTGACTATTTCTAAAGCACATGTATCATATAGATGGACACTCTTTGCTAATGCATACTAGTGCAAGAAAGGAAATAGGAATGCCTTGTTCTTAAAACAATGTTGGTTCATATCCCTAAATTGAAAAGTTTGACTTCTATGGTTTTGTTTTTCTAGGGAAAAAACTACTTTAGTAAGACTCTAACCCAAATCGTAATGTCTCTTTGGGGTACCGATACCCCCTTTTTTACAGTATTTAAAAAAAACTCTTTTTAATAATTAAATAATATAAAACTAACTTTTTAAAATTAAAAAAAATTGAAAAAAAGGTATGCATTGTTCGAAGTGTCGATACTCAATACACCCCTTTCAGCAATATTGGGGGTGTATGGATACTTTGAACCATGAATCCATGTCTAATATATCATACAAGACAATTCATATAAGATCCTAATTTTATGTTTTCCTGTCTTTCTTGTTTATGGATTATATCCTTTTATTTTTTGCTCAAGACTTAAGCCTCAAAACGCCTTGAGGCTTACGCCTCGCCCCTATGAGACACAAATGCCTCGCCTTTGCCTTTTGCCTTTAAAACCTTGCCCCAAATTGACCTTTAATTTGGATAAGCTCTCAAAGGAGCTAATAAGGAGTTTCAAGTTCCTAAGGGCCTTGGGGCTAAAGTCATCACAGAAAAGCATTAAGTCATCTGCAAACTGTAAATGGGTAACCACATCTCAACCCTTCCCACCCTCCAGCCCCTTATTGCATTATCCAAATCAGCCTTACTAATCATTCTACTTAGGACCTCTGCAATCAAAGTGAAAAGGAAGGGGGATAAAGGATCCTCTGTCTCAATCCTCTTTTAGCTGGGTAGAAGTCTCTAGCAACCCCATTAATCAAAATTGAATAATGCACTGAGTCTACGCAACCCTTTATCCACTTTCTCCACCTTTCTCCAAAACCAAATTTTTCCATAACTTCAAGAAGGAAAATCAGCCCACCAAATCGTAAGCCTTCTCCAAGTTCAATTTACAAACAAAGCCTTTCCCTCTTTTTTTCTTCTTTTCAACTACACATTCATTTGCCACCAAGATTTGGTAATAATTTGCCTTCCCCCCACAAAGGCACCTTGAGCTTGTGAGATTATCGTGGGTAGTACCTTTGTTAGCCTACTTGAAAGGACATTTGCAATTATTTTGTATAGGCTATCCACCAAATTAATTGGTCTAAAATTCCTTGGGGTTTTGGCTCCCTTCTTCTTAGGCACTAACACAATGAATGTGGCATTTGTTCCTGGTGAAACCTCCCCTTTTTGGTGAAACTCATCAAACACTTTCTTTAGGTCTTTTTCTAGAAACTCTCAGCATTCTTGAAAAAAATGCCGTGGTGAAACCATCTGGCTCAGGGGCTTTTGATCTTTCCATGGAGAAGACGACCTCTTTGATTTCCTCAATACTAAAATTTGCCTCCAAGGCCCTAGATTGGACATTAGTCACCCTATCCACTCCAATTCAGGGAGGTCTTGCCTATTCCCTTCCATTCTGGAGAATATGCCCTTAAAGTGATCAAGAAAGACCTTGACTATCTCCTCCTCCCTCCTGACCTCAATCCCATCCACTACCACAGTTGTTATGAGGTTTTTGCTTCTCTTCCCACTTGCTAGAGAGTGAAAAAATCTTGTGTTTTTGTCTCCTTGAAGCCACTTACATCTAGACTTTTGTCTCCAAGAAATTTCTTCATTCCTTAAAATCTCTTCTAGCTCCACCTTTAGCTTCCATCGCTCTTCTCTTTCCTCCTCACTAAAGTTTCTTTGTGCTTCCTTTATGTCTAGCTCCTCAATTCTAGAAGAAATTCTTTCTTGACCCTCTTCAATTCTTCCAAAGTGATCCTTATTCCAATCTTTAGTTTTCCCCTTCAGAGCTTTCAAAGTCCTCATAAATCTAACCCCCTTTTTTCTGTTTCTTGGTCTTCCCTCTTCCCACCAATCTTTTACTCTTAACTTAAAAGAGGGATCTTTTAACCACATGTTCTTGAACCGAAAAGGGGAAGGACCACCAAAAAGTGCCTCTTGTCCTAAAGGAATAGGGCAATGGTCTGAAGTCACACTAGGTAAAGCTTTAGATACGAGATTTTCCCACAATTCTTCCCAGTCTACCATAAAGAGGAACCTGTCCAGCTTGGATCAAATTGTATTTGCTTGAAAATTTGACCAGGTGAACTCATCTAGTAACATTGGTGGTTCTTTTAGCTCAAAAGATTCAATCAAGTTGTTAAATTTTCTTATGCTAAGGGTAATGCCCTGGTTTGGGTTGTTTGTTTCCCTAGAGAACCTAAGAACATTGAAATCTCCCCCTGGGCACCAAGGCCCCTCCCACAATCTTCTAACTGCACTCAACTCCTCCCAGAATTGATCTCTTTCTTTGTAGAATCGGGGCCATACACATTTGTTAGGACCCACTCTTTTCCATCATTTGCTCTTTCAAATTTAATAGATATCGAGTAACTCCCAATGAGTTCCTCCAAGCAATCCATTTCCTCATTTTTCCACATCGTTAGTAAGCCCCCTGAAGTTCCCCAAGAAGGTGCAACCGTGCAAAAGCCCAATGTGAGCCTCTATGATGGAGGCCCATCCCAAGGCCCACATCACCTTAGGGGCGGCAGCTCCTAGGATAAGGATAAGTCAAGATCCAAGAAAGAGATAAGTCAAGAAAGGATTCAAGATAATCAAGAATTCAAGAATTCAAGAGATCAAGATAATCCAAGACTTCCAAGATTCATGCATGGAGATCGGACAGTGAAGATCATGGCAAAGAATCCGATCCTATCAAGATCAAGATCAAGAAGAATTCGATCCTATCCAGATTAGATGTTTTGATATCTATCTTAGTTGTTCTTTCCTAGTTATTCTATGATTTCCAGATGTATTATAAATACTGTTATTGTTTTCAGTTAATACACACTTCAGATTTTCTATTCAATTCTCGCCACCTTTTCTCTCTCCTCTAGAGATTTTCTCTCTTTCTTGTTTCGCTAGAAACTTGGTTCGCCCGGTGCTTGCATAGCCAGCCCGGTTTATTGCTTCCACGTTGCGTCAGGTGGTATCAGAGCTGGGAGTTCGCCCAGTCAGATGGCCAACCAAGACGGTAGCAGTCGCAATCCACCCCGTGACGAAGATTAGGGGTTCACAGCTGTTTGGAGAGTAATCGAAGAGCAGCGCACGACCACACGTAACATCGAACAACAGTTGGCAGAGATGGTTGAACAACTGCAAACTTTGTTACGGGAGGTTGTTCCACGGAATCGGGAGAATCCACATCCAATCGAGGGAAACGACCACGACAGGCCACCTGTCAATGCTGCGTTCCGACGTCCAGTTCTTGACGACGACAGTGATGATGAGTTAGAATTCGGTGGTGCTCCAGTTCTTCCCGGCAACGACAGAAACGGCAGAAATTGGCACAATCAAGGTAATTTCAATCCCCATAGGAATAATGATGAATTTAAACTCAAGGTAGATATTCCTACTTTTAGTGGGGATCTTGGCATAGAGGGACTTTTAGATTGGATCATAGAAGTTGACCGTTTCTTTGAGTACATGGAGATACCTGAAGAACGAAGGGTAAAATTGGTAGCTTTCCGATTAAAGGGAGGCGCATCTGTTTGGTGGGAACGCATGAGAGAAACCCGAATCAGAGAAGGAAGGGGTCCTATTCGAACCTGGAGGCGCATGAAACAACTTATAAGAGGTAGATTTTTACCCCCAGTTAATGAACAGTACATGTTTGAATCTTACCAACGGTGTGCGCAGGGTTCCCATAGTGTTAATGAATATACATCTGAATTTTTGAGATTAGCTGAAAGAAATCAATTATCTGAAAGTGATAACTAGCAGGCAGCCCGTTATCTGAGCGGTTTGAGACCGTCCATCAGAGATAAAATTGGTGTACAGATGGTTCTTAGTGTGCAGGAAGCAGAATTGATGTTCCAAGACAAGGCACGTAGTGATAATTATCGCCGGTGCAACGGGAGCGACAACAGGCCGGCAACTGTCGACAGGAACAAATCAGTCCCGGCAGTTCAGCCTTCTCACCTGGCAAGTACAGCTAACGCCGGTAAGGTTCCCACAGGAGGACATACTCGAGGTAACCCTTCCAACTCTCCTAAACTCAGTAATCCCTATGCAAAGCCTGTTCCTATTAAATGGTTTAAATGTAATGAGGTTGGACATAGGTCCAGTGACGGTCCCAGGAGGAAGGCAGTTAATATGGTAGAAAGGGAGGAGGAAGAAGATGTGGAGGAGGAAGTATACTGTGGACCTGATGGGGAAGATGAAGAGGGTCCATACGAACATGAAGAGTATACTTGTGTTGTGAGAAGATTAATGTTGTCCCAGAAAAATCAAGATACTTCTCAAAGGCACAGATTGTTCCGTACTGGATGTACTGTCAAGGGTAAATTATTTGATTTAATACTTGATAGTGGCAATCAAGAAAATATTATTTGCAGGGATGTCATACAAAAGTTACAATTACTTCTTGAAAAACATCCAAAACCATACACAATTGGGTGGATCAAGGAAGGAGGCGGTGTACGAGTGGAGGAATGCTGCAAGGTACCCTTTTCTATTGGTAAGTACAATGGTGAAGTATATTGTGATATTGTAGACATGGATGCTTGCCATATTTTGTTGGGTAGGCCGTGGCAATTTGATATAGATGCAAGGCACATGGGTAGGAAGAATACCTACCAACTTGAAAAGGAAGGTATACGCTACACCTTGTTACCCATGGCTGAAAAGAATATTCCTAAGGTCCTAAAAGCAAATGAGAAAAATTTTCTTACTATTACCCATCATCTTGCTGAATTTATGAAAGAATGTAAGGATACCCATGAGGTACATTTGTTAGTAGTAAAGGGAGAACATATGAATGAGACCCTGGAGGAAAATAAAATTCCAGTGGAAGTGCAGGGGCTACTGGATGAATTCCATGATGTAGTCCCAAATGAATTACCAAATGAACTCCCTCCCATGAGAGATGTACAACATCATATTGACTTTGTTCCAGGTGCTAGTCTACCTAACCTCCCACATTACAGGATGAGTCCTAAGGAGAATGAAATTTTATGGGAGAAGGTAGAAGAATTGTTGAAAAAGGGACACATTCAAGTCAGTATGAGTCCTTGTGCAGTACCAGCTTTGCTAACACCCAAGAAGGATGGCAGTTGGAGAATGTGTGTCGACAGCAGGGCTATCAACAAAATTACTATTGGCTACAAATTCCCCATTGCTAGGCTGGACGACATGCTAGATCAGCTTAATGAGGTTGTGATTTTCTCAAAAATCGATCTCAGGAGTGGATACCATCAGATCAGGATCTGCCCCGGAGATGAGTGGAGGACAGCCTTCAAGACTAGAGATGGCCTGTTCGAATGGTTAGTCATGCCCTTTGGACTAACCAACGCACCCAGCACATTCATAAGGCTGATGAACCAGGTACTGCGTCCCTTTACTGGTAAATTTGTTGTGGTATATTTTGATGATATTTTAATTTACAGCAAATCTATTATTGAGCATATGTGACATATTAGGGAGGTCCTAAAAGCATTGAGGGAAAATAAATTATATGCTAATTTGAAGAAATGCACTTTTATGAGTGATAATTTATTATTCCTGGGATTCATTGTGAGCAAGGAAGGCATTAAAGTAGATGAAGAAAAAGTGAAAGCCATTAGGGAGTGGCCGACCCCATCAAATGTCACAGATGTGAGACGCTTCCATGGGTTAGCAACTTTCTATAGGCGATTTAAAGCATTTTAGCAGTATTGTAGCTCCCATTACTGAATGTTTGAAAAAGGGAAAATTTCAATGGGGAGAAGAACAAGAGCAAAGTTTTGCTCTCATAAAAGAGAAGTTATGTACTGCCCCTGCCCTTGCTTTACCAAATTTTGATAAACTATTTGAAGTTGAATGTGATGCCAGTGGAGTTGGTATAGGGGCTGTATTGTCCCAAGAAAAGAGATCCATTGCTTTATTCAGTGAAAAATTATGTGAAGCCAGGAGAAAGTGGTTCACTTATGACAAAGAGTTCTATGCTGTGATAAGAGCCTTGAAAACATGGGAACACTATTTAATTGCAAAGGAATTTGTTCTTTACACTGACCACTAGGCCCTAAAATATCTTAGTGGGCAAAAACAATTAATGAGTGATTTGCATGCTAGATGGTCTGCTTTCCTTGACAAATTCCCATACAAAATTTTGTACAACGTTGGACAACAGAATAAAGTGGCCGATGCCCTTAGTAGAAGAGTAGCCCTCATCAAGACCATCAGTATTGAGATTGTGGGTTTTGAATGCCTAAAAGACCTATACGCCCAGGATGAGGACATCCAACAGGTGTGGGAGAAATGTGTGAATCGACAGCCAGCAGATGATTCCCACATTTATGATGGGTTCCTTATGAAAGGGGAACAACTGTGCATCCCTTGCACCTCCCTCCGTGAAAAGATCATCAGGGACCTGCATGGGGGTGGATTAGTAGGACACCTGGGAAGGGACAAGACAATTGAAGTAGTTAAGGGGCGTTATTACTGGCTGAAATTAATGAGGGATGTGTCCACCATTGTGAGTAGATGCTATATTTGCCAGACAGCTAGGGGCAAACCCAAAATATTGGTCTCTACATGCCCCTACCCGTTCCTACTGCTATTTGGGAAGATTTGTCCATGGATTTTGTGCTAGGCCTGCCAAAAACCCAAAGGAACATGGACCCCGTCTTCGTGGTGGTTGACAGGTTCTCTAAAATGGCCCACTTCCTCCCATGCAAGAAAACAACAGATGCATCAGCAACAGCCAAATTATTTTTCAGGGAGATTGTCCGTCTACATGGGGTACCCAAGACTATTACATCAGATCGAGACACAAGGTTCCTAAGTCACTTTTGGATGACCCTATGGATGTTATTTGATTCGTCACTCAATTTCAGCAGCACAGCCCATCCACAGACAGACGGACAGACGGAGGTAGTGAACCGGACCCTTGGTAACTTGATTCGCAGTATATGTCAGGAGAGACCAAAACAATGGGATTTTGCCATTGCACAGGCTGAGTTTGCCTATAATAATGCAGTACACAGTTCTACAGGTAGATCTCCATTCTC